TAGTAGCAACTTAAAGAGTCATGTTTTTTTTTTTATTATTTATTGTATGTGACATGATGTGGACATCACATATAATTATAAGAGTGTATATTGCTTTGTAATAATAAATACATTCATGCAGGGGTGTTAAAAATGCATCATTATGATACAAGAATGAGGGCTGTTTCGAAAGTACCTTTGCATAAATCATGTCTTTTGGTGTACAAGTAATACATAACAATTATGTTGTGTTGACGATGCCATTTAAGAAAGAAAGGAAGAGTTTTCATCCAATCAAAACTTATCAGTAATCACAATTCTCTGTTTAGTGTTGTACAGGTCATAATTTATGTCAAAATAAAATCATCACATTTCAATCTGTTTTGTGTTGTACATTTTCACAACTGTGATTTTTTCAACCATTTTTATACAACACATCACTGAACCATTTCAATGTTGTGCTTTTTTAAAAAAAACTTTGCTGTACTATATCAATAGTTTCAATTGCCAGATGTTTAAATCCGATAAACTTTGGCAACATGGCAGAAACGTTTCAAGTCACAGATGAATTTCCGTCTCGTATATCACAATATGTTGTCATCAACTTCTCACAGGTATTATCTAACTAAGTAAGTTCCTTATTTCTTTGTGAATATGACACAAGAAGTCTACGTATGACGCACTGCCATTCTGTCCTTTGTCTTCCACCAGGAAGTGATTGAACCACGGCTCCAGTTTGTCTCGCTGTCTTACAATTGTTAACTGAAATAAATATACCAGGTAAGTTAATGCAGGTACTTAGAAAGAGAAATTGATTTTTTTTTGTTTGGATTGTAAAGACTCAATCAAACCGAGTCTGCAGTTTTCATGTAATTTTGCTGATTTTTATGCTTCTGCGTGATCACTTTTTCCCCAAGATATTTATATTGCACAAAATTAACTCATATATAGGACCTTACAAGCTTAACTTACGTTAAGTGGAAGAAACCTTAGAAGCCCCTACCCATGCATTCTCTATAGGGCAAATAGCCACTAACTTATTAATTTCACCTTTCAGTAGCCAGCCAAATAGCTTCCGCACAAGAAAGTTTGACATCACTTTTACGAATCATAACTACAAGTGTTAGATGAGAGAGATTAAATAATTAGCTGCCTTAGCCACCTCAGACTCGCACAAAATAAAAGTTGTGTTATAAAACTGGTCATTCAAGAATATCATTTGCAATGCATTAATAGAATCTTACCTTCATATATCTGTTTCTATGTGCTCGTACCTTTTGTATAACTTCTCTAACAATATGTGACTGGTCATTATCAAGCTCTAGCAGACGACACTGAAATATATCAATTATTGTCAATTATTGCCACTTTAATCAATATCATAACTTAATATATTTAGATATGCAAAAGGTCATTTTTTCTTTGATTTTTTTTCCTTATAATATCAACTTTCCTTCAGTGCCGTTGATCAGCTGGATTGTATAAACTGCTTTCCAGTAATTTAACATTCTGATAGAAACATTCCTTACATTTACAACAGACAGTTGAAATTTCAAAGATTAACCAATTTAACATTGCAAAGTTTATTAATATAAATTTTTTTTTTTCCATATATCAAATGAAAACAAATGTTTTATGGTTGTGTTTAATTTCTTTTTTCTATTAAAACGTTTCGAATTAACAAGATGGTAAGGACTTATCTAGTATATAAGATGTTAAAAAACACACTGATTTAGATAATATAAATTATATTCATTACCTTATCGATATCAATCTGTGCTGCACTTTGAACACTGAACACATTCTGTACCCATTCTGGATCTACACTGTGTCCTATCCACATGAACATTGATACACCATTTTCTGTAATTTGTATATTTAACTTTATATAACGTGCATGGGTTTTTGTTGTTGTTTTTTTTGTAAGTAATACTTGCGCTTTGTCACATATCAGATTGTAATATTTGTTTGTTTTGTTTGTTTCATTTTACGCCTTTTCCCAACAGTATTTCAGTAATATAGGCGGTTAGTTTCCTAACCATCGTTCCTGGAGAGTTACACCAGTACTAGACTACCTTCCTCCGTGCTAAACTACCAAAGCATCTCCCGGGGATTGAACCCACGCCAGAGAGGTAACTGGATTAGAAGTCATCGACTCTAACCCCTCGACCACAGAGGCAGTTGGAATAAAATCACTCTTTCACTGCAAGGTGTATGAAACCCTCCTACAATCATGCAGTTAATCCTTAGATTTATTGAAGATAATTAATGTTCACAATGCTGATATTCTGAATACCATTAATATCAAGCCTTTAATCCCAATACATTATTAAATTGACATACCTAGCAGATAGACACCATTATCCATCAGTCTTTCAGAAGAGCATCTCAATGCTACAGGTAATTCTGTGTTTTCTAAATTGTGCTGTAAAGTAAAACATACTGTCTCAATATATGATCAACTGTTTCATTTGTTTTTGTTTACAAATCCATAGATTTTCTGTTTTGGGTTTTCAGCAAAACAAATTCTGATAAAGAAGTACAGCTTTATAAAAGTTCATTTTGTAGAAAAATATCCCAAAATACACTTAATTTCCAATACAAATTGGCACTTATCCAATACATTGGCACTATACTAGCACCTCTGATCTTCTATCAGCTACCTTGGTAACTCCTGCAAACACTTCCAAACATGACATAACAGTCATGTTTGTTCACCTTATAATGATGTCACAAATACCTTTGATATAATCAATCATCTTTTCTTCATTTAAATATTAGCAAATATTCTAGGATATATGGAATAAGGATGATGTACAAGGACTTACTAATGGTATAAGTCTTGGGTAGAAAAATGCACAAGATGATTTGACATCCATGGCGTTGATTAGATGCATTAGATAGCTTCTATCATCTGTGGATATGTCTTGACCTAGAATGTAATTACAACTATATCATTCAATATATACTCTTTCCAAACTAACAAAAAGTATTATTTCATAATCAAAATCCTTTGAAACGTATAATTTTCAAATGTGCTAAGTAAAATCCTTTAAAAGGTATAATTTTCAAATGTGTTAAGTATGGGGAGTCTTTAAAAAAGGCATGTTTGTTTCAATAGCATTTGCAACATCAGTTTAATCATTTCTGCATTAACAATTATTATATGTATCACAAAATTTGGTAAAATTTTTTCATATACCAAACATTAGATAAGATTTTAGTCTAATCAATATTATCAAGGTCAAATGACACCTTCCCAAATGACATTCTAGCTATACTGGAAGCAGAAAAAGACCAGGTGCATTTTCATGCCATATTTTAAAATACCAATCATCCACATAACATCATGGATTCTAAATGTATGATTTCTAAACACTGCAATATTAGCAATGACAACATAGCGATATTGAAGAAGTACGAAACATACATGTATAATATACATTCAGTAACTGATAAACTATACTTTTAATTAACATTTTTCTGCTGTACATTATTGATTTTTATCTGAGCTAATCCTGAAAAAAAGAATTCAATTTCTGCTGTGTTTAAAAACATAAGGTCTGACATACCTCCTTGAATTCCATCACTTTTAACGACACAGTTCCCATACAGAGGTAACAATTTCATACATTCTGGAAGTATGAGTTGACCTGCTGACGATGGACTGGCACAATTCTTTCTGTAACACGCCAATACATTTGCTACCTCTGTCATTATATGTTCTCTAGTCTCACGAGGGCTTTTATTTAATGTGTTTCTAATAGCTGTTAGGAAACAAAATAAAGAAATTATTCATAAATTAATAAAACCAATAATCAAATTATGATTACACCAGAAATTAACATATTCAAATATTGTAAGTTTTAAATGCATTAAAACCTGGTATAAATTTGGTCAATAATATCCCTTCTATAACTCATATAAAATTTATATTCATTAGGCAGGACTGAGACGACAGGAATATTTGTCAAGTCTTGTCACATAAAAATTTTTTTGATTTTTAAAAAGCACAAAATGACAAAATATGCTGAATTTTAACAAGCTTTAGACACATGTCATATTTAAGTTTTTATTTATATTTCAATAACATATCATTTTTTTCTGTTGAATATTTACAAAATAAATTATATAACATGACAATGTTTAAACAATTAAGAAGATTTTTTACAGAATGGGTATATTGATATTTAGGGACTAGGTGTTGAAAATCAAGAGGCTATATAATGAGTTCATGGAATACCATACAAGTTATATCAAAGACTACCCTAACTAAGATAATCTAACTAAATTTCATTTAAAACATCTCAAAGGCCACTTACCGAATTTTGACATATAATTTATAAAAGTATCCAATTCACAATTTCTGAACAAGTCCGCCAACTGCGTACAACAGTTTAGTGCTAAGTTATGAATTCTTAAACGTCTTTGTCCACTAACACTTGTAAAGAGCACTGCCACTTGAACAAATGCACCTTCCTGTTCATTAAGTTTATCATCATGTTTTATCTCTACAGCTATTGCCTGATTACTATCTACAGCACACATTTCTACATCTGTAGTGTTGGACATATAGAAGTTTCCAAGGAAATCTACTGGACGAATACCTGTACATGAAGAATATAATATATATATATATATATGAAACAGTGGGGATTAGGCTTGTAAGCCAATACCAAGAAAGAAGGAGGCTCAGACTCCACCAGACTTAATGGTTTTAAACATGTATGTGTCTTATTTCCAATTTCAGTTATATTTCCAAGTTATATTTATTTTATAATCATTCATTTGGTCTGATGTTTCTTAGCCAGTTATGCCAAAAATAAAGATTTATATTTTTATCATTTGTTTCCTTGTTTTAATTTGATCAAGTATAAATGTAACAGTAAACATTATAATTTGCAGGAAAAAATACTTCTCAGATCTTATTTATCTTACAAATCTTATCGCAGGCAATATTATGTTTGTTTTGCTAAGGTTTAGCATTCACTTATATGAATCTACTGCCAATGTCAAGTTATATACCAATGCTAAATTGATGTAGGTAATATTCTTGGGTTCTTTAACAACATTACCAACAACTGGCCTGTAACATGTAACTGTCAACTTATCAACAACAAAAACTTGAATCATTTTGGAAGACAGATGACTGCAAACTACTACATTCAAATAAATGTTTACTTGTTTTTTTTCTGTTTTTCCTCCAATGTTAACACAATATTTGGTAATATGTTGGCAGTCAATCAACCTAACCAACATTCCTGGATAACTGACCAGTAATTACATATTTCTGACCGACTACTTATCCAACATGATTTCTGAATAAGCGCTCAGACACCAATGCACATCAGACCCGATGTCCGAGAAATGTCATGGGACACATCAGTCAGTTATCCTATTTTTCCATCATCACTGTAATTATTGTCCAAAAGAAGGCTAACATTTCAAGTATAACATATGTACTCATAACAAACATACCTTGACTTGTTCTCACTCTGATTATAGCATCAAATGCACACTGACTCTCAACATTTGCTTTCAGATCTTCTATAAATCTATCACCATCAAGGTCAGCCTATAAACAGAGAAGAAATATTACATAAATGGGATTTTATTTAAACATATTTGTTGGCAGTAAAGCAGAAATCTTTAAATTGGAGTACAATTAATTCAAAAACATTACTTTGTAAGAGACTATCACATGTGAAAGTCTAAGTTTGGTCATTAAAACAGAAAGACACTACAACATGTATGAAAGTTGCCCTTTTAGAAAATATGTTTGCCTCAAACCATATTCACCACATGTTAATGTTTAAAAAAATAATCCATACTGTGTTTTTTCCAAATGAACCATTTCTAAAAGAAATTTTCACATTTAAGTAACTGAAAAATCTCTAAAATTGGTGAAAAAATTTAACTTTTTACTTTAAAAAAAAACCCCAGCTTCTTTTCATACTTTTAAAACTGCTCAATTTCTAAAGTCAATATTCAAAGCTTAAACAAATGGTAACCAACAAATGAAAATACCAACCTGAAAGTAGCTGTATTTATACATGTTTCCAGATGTGAGTCTACATATCTCAGAGATGGTAGCTACATCACAATAAGAGTTAGGGAACAAAAACATGTCCACACTACAACCTGCTGCCACACATTCCTGTCCTAACTGACTGTAAAACTTTGTCTGTGGTGTCAGTATAGTCTGCAATAATATCAAGTTTTATAAATCGTGACATACTTGATTTTATGCTTTTTTCCAGGATTTAAGACACATCAACATTACCAAGTTTCTCACAAATTGACAAATTACTAATAACACATGTCTTAATTGGTGGTGAGAGGCAAAAGAACATTCTGCTCAATGTACAAGATTCATTGTCATAAAGAAATTTTAACTCACTTGAAGAGCAAACCAGCAACCCCTGGTTTACATACACAATGCTATTCATATTGAGCTAAGAGAGTGGACAGTTTTAATGGTAAACAAAGATCCCTTGATCATGCAGTATTTAAAACTTATATAAACCAGTTATATTGCCAACATCACAAATGGATTGAAATATTTTGAATTTAATCCCATAAACAAGAGCGATCAGTAATCACATGTGTCGCCTCATGATGGCCAATTTCATGTTGGGACAAATTTTGTGACAGACGGACAGACAGTGCACAACTAGGCTTGGTACTGATCATTCCTGTAAAGTTTGGATAAAATTGCACCAGTAGTTTATGAGGAGTAGTCCGGACAAGCTTTTGTGTATCTGGCAACACACAGAAAAAAAAACACCTTTTTATCAAAGGGCCATAACTCAGCCAAAAATCATTTAAGCAGAAAACCTATGTAATATGTGCAACTACTAGAGCTACTGATCAATCCTGTAAAGTTTCATTGAAATTGCATTAGTGGTATTAGAAGAGTAGTCCGGATAAATCATTAAAGGACCATAACTCAGACAAAAATCATAGAACTAGAAAATGCGAGACGATATGCACAACTTGATTTGGTACTGATTAGTCCTGTTAAGTTTAGATAAAATTGCACTTGTACTTTCTGAGGAGTAGTCCAGACAAGGTTTTGTGTATCTGGCAACACACAGAAAAAGAAACCTTTTTATCAAAGGGCCATAACTCGGCCAAAAATCATTCAACCGGAAAACCCGTGCAATATGCGCAAGGACTTGAGCTACAGATCAATCCTGTAAAGTTTCATTGAAATTGCATTAGTGGTATAAGAGAAGTAGTTCGGACAAACTTTAAAATTAAAAATTATTAAAGGGCCATAACTCTGACAAAAATCATTGAACCGGAAAATGCTGACAATATGCACAACTAGACTTGGTACTGATCATTCCTGTAAAGTTTGGATGAAATTGCACCAGTAGTTTATGAGGAGTAGTCCGGACAAGTTTTGTGACGGACGGACGGACAGACGGAAAATTTGATGTTTATGAGGCAAATGAGCTCATAAACACCACCTGGACCAACGTCCATAAGCAAAATAAGCTCATAAAAACCAAAAAATAGCTCTTAATTTGAATTTTATGAGTTTATGTTCTTTATTTAACTACGGAATGAAGCTCATAATAATCAAATGTTGGCTCGGACAGACAGACGGACGACGGAGAAGTGATCCCTATATGTCGCCACTACTCCGTAGAGGCGACACAAAAAGCATTTCTGTTTGTTTTTTCTGAACATTAAAGTCATTTCAATCTTTTATGAACAACTAAATGTTCTCAATTGTTTTATTAAACTTACCTTTTCTTTATCAGTGCCCAAGAGTTTTCTATCATCTCTGTTTTTCAATTTTCCAGGGGCTTCTCCAATAGGTAAAGAGGTGTGAAATATGTACAATTTGCCTGATCTTTCAGCCGACTTCAGTGCATCCAGGCCAGCCTGGATCACTGGTCCTAGAACCACCTCCGTCTCTCTTGACTCTCCAAACATTTGGGGAATCTGGGCTAGTAAACTGTTGGATATAATTATCATTGTATGGTAAATCAAAATATGAAACATTTTCAAATTACCTACTTTGTCTTAAGTTAATAATAAATATTTGTCTTAAGGTATTATTTCCATTCACAGTCGAGAGTGGCTATTTCATGTAAAACAAAATTCAAATTTTTGAAGTTTTCCTAGATTTACTAGCTCATTTGTTACAAATTACTAGCAACCTTGATCCAGAGAAAATAATAATGGCCTCAAACAACTAACAGTTCATGAGTAAATGGAATTACAACAACAGAGTTTCAAGGAAAACTCTAAAATATGCCACAAAATATCTAAATTATGTACAATAGGTCTATATACTGAATGCACTCCATATAAAAGTTTAGAGGACATAATTTTTATCTTAACTACTAAGAAATTGAAATCAGGAAATTTGTATATATAAACATACCTGTCAATAACTGATTCTGATTCCTCTAAGGTTACAAAGAATCCATCTAATAAAGGTACAAACACATCTTCTACATCAGACACCACTAACATCTGTGGCTGTGCCAATGCTCCCTATAACAAATAATACCAATATTGTTCATTTAATCTGTACAACGTGAATTTACAATGACTATAAAGAAAAAGAAATCTGCTTTTAATCTAAGAAACATAACAAAATGCTGTCTTAGCGTGAAAAAAAGTAAACAATATGTTCAAGTGTCTGGTTTTGTAGCATAGCATTTCAACATGAAAATAAAGGAAATACCTTAACATTGTAAAAATGAATCTCTTTTCCATAAGTAACAAATCCTACTCTGATTTCTGATTGTGTAGCGCCCAAATCTCTGGAAACAATAAATAAACCACATTAAATACAATGTTAATTGAATCTATAATTCATTCTATAATAAAGAAATTCTGATAGGCAGTCATTTACAGAATATTTACTTCAGAAAATAAATATGCTTCGGCTGCGTTATCACCCGTATTAACTTAACCTTTTACCAATCATTGCCAAAACAGACGTCACCAAATTAAAATATTTAAAATATAATTAACGACTGTTAAAAAAAATAAAACATCTGAATGTTTTAAAATATTCTCATGTGAAAAAAACCCTTAAAGCCACAGAACTTATCATGCATCTTGTAAACTTTACAGATTTCACAATTTTATTTATCATTCTTTATACATTGGATCACTATAAATACATACTTTGGTAGGTTAACAAGGATATCTTTCTTTAATCTCTCACAGATTAAATGAACCAATCCACTCTTCACTGAATTATACGACACATCTATCATAAATACGAAGCCAGGGGCATTCGGTAATACACTGTTCTGTAAACAAATACATGCAAAATATTAAATAATACATCTTCATTAATAATTCTCTCCTTTACCCACTCTTTACCATTATGATGTAATGCCTTGCAGTTGATTTCCAGCTACTGCTGGCAAACTCTTTAGTAGAACACCAGATATTTTATATGCTTAATGAACACAACATTCACAATGTTAAAATATTACTTGAAGTGCCATTTGTTTTAAAGAATCCTTAAAGTGATGAGATGCTTATGGTGTAAACTCAATGGCCTAATTATCATTCCTTCCACTTCTAAGGCCAGGGCTTCCATTAAGTTCCAAAATTTGGAAGTCAGAGACTGCAAAATTTGTGACATTGGAAGTCACATTATATAGGTAAAGAAGGAAAAGTGAATATATTTTGGAAGTCACAAGCCAAAATCAGAAGTAAATGACTCTCAAACTTTCACTTATGGAAGTCCTCTAAGGCATTAACACCATTACAAAATCTAGGTCAAACCTTCTGTAAATGACTAAACTTTACAACTCTTAAGTAGTAACTAACTTATATTAAAGTGTTACAAAGTGCTAAACAGGTTAACTTACTTTACAATAATCTTTTGTGGCAACAAATTCATAGGAACCCAGACACAATTCTGGTCTATCATAACTATCCACCCTTCTACCGGTGTGATCTAAATGGGCAAAATAGGCATCCGGAACTGAAAAACACAAGTATCAAACTGTTTAGCAAGACATAAATGAGCCGCGCCATGACAAAACCAACATAATGGGTTTGCATCCGCGCAGTCTGATCAGGATCCATGCTGTTTGCTATCAGTTTCTCTACTTGTAATAGAGTTGGTAAGCGAACAGCATGGATCCTGATCAGACTGTGCGGATGCTGGTCTGGATCCATGCTGGTCGCAAACGCACTATGTTGGTTTTGTTGTGACGCGGCTCAAATAAACTTCTTTGTGGGTACTCTACATGATCTTAAGAATAACTATAACAGTGATTAATCTAGAAATTCCTTACAATGCGTCGGATGACGCACATTTTTGAAAACAATGAGTCCTTTAGCAAAATCAATGAGTCATGTAGCAAAATAAATGCGTCTTAGCAGAAATTTTTTTTATAGCAGATCCTTGACATGATTTGCATGTTTTTATAACAAGCGATTAAGTAATTAAAGTGTATAAAAAAAGTTTGTTTTTTTTGGTACTAATATTAATTGCAGGCAAAACAATTTTTATTGGCTGCTCAAAAATCTTATTTGCATAATTTATATTTTCTTACTACTTATGTCTAATACTGTGCATTATCCATTTTAATTGTTCGTAATTTGCACAAAATGTCCCTATCACACTGTATACATACTGACGACTTTTATTGCTCCTTGTATGCCTCTGTGTAGAAAGCATACACAGACAGACCTTTTGATCATGAAAAAAAGTCATGCACAATGTTTCCCTGATTGGTTAATCACCCTGTCAAATATTCTGATGACGTAATAGATATCTTTTTTTTTTTTTACACTCTGCGTGAACTTGAGTGACCTTAGGGGAATTCAATTTACACACCTGTCAGATTATACTGTAACTTACAGCATTTCTTAAAATAGCAACACTTTTTTTTCAGTTACCGATATTTATTTAAAATATTAAGTAGATTAATGATTTTTTGTTTGCTTTATTGGATTAAATTTATGGTAGTAGAAATGCTTATCTGTGTGGAAAAAGGATAAGGTAAGTAGATAACTCGGAAAAATGCTATAATAGGGAAATGGATAAACTCAAGGATATGCGTAATTACAAGGGAATGGGTAACCTGTTGCTGTTGGTACCAGTTTTGTCTGGATGACTAAATAACATACAATATAAGTCTGGCACAGATTTTAGATGCAACCTTGGCCCTTTGCTGACAATTTTCCTGTGCCATTCTCATTTTTTAGCGCCTTAGCGCCAATGGCGCAGGCAGATCTCTGCATATTTCACCATTGTAGCGATTAGCTCTCATGCAAAATGGACGCTCTGATTGGCTAATGCCGATAATAGGCGGTTACCGATCACAGGGATTTAATGTTTCAAGCAAATGGGGGATTAGTCTTGCACAAGTAATCATCGGAAATCAAATTATTCAACTAAAGAAATTGAAAAATTATTCAACTGATGAAATTAAAGTAATCAAACAGTACATAGAAATCACTTATCGTGATATTTTGGATTATAATCCACCTGATTTGCATGCGTTAAATTGAACGCACATATTTTGAAACTGTGCGTCTTTTTCGATTTTTATGCGTATTTTACGCAAGACGCACATCTAGATTAATCACTGCTATAATCAAGTAAAAAGCCTACAGCTTGAAGAGGTTACATATTAACTGGACAAAGTAAAGTCCTTTTCTCTTCATCACCCCACCCCCAAATGAATTCTTCATACAAATGAAAATACTGTTTTAATCCCTTTATTCAAATAATGCTGGATAGAGCATAATCAACTATCCTTATGATAAACACCATGAGCCCTATATGAGGTCTATACAAACAAGTGTATAGCCAGACAAACTTGTATTTCTGTACAATCTGACAAGGTTCTATACTACTGGTTGCACAACATCATTTTGATATTTAAACCATGTAACATTCATTAACATTTTACATTGAAGGCAGTACAAGCCATCTGCACACATTACATGGGTATAAGGTATAAAATGTACACTCACCATCTGTCGCAGCACCACAGAAGACACACTGAAACCTCCGTCCACCATCTATAAACATCATATTAGGATTCATATATGCTTTACATCTTTTACATCTCACTGGACCTAACTCTCCAAGATTCACTATTGGTGGAGGATTCTGAAATAACAAAAGCAGTACTTGTTGTAAAATTAAATACTGAAGACAGTAAAATTGTTGTTACCAACTGAACAGAGCATTTGAAAATTCATGCAAACAGCAATGAAAATGTAACACAAATATTCCTTAAAAAGACAGTAGATGCTAAAATAATTCATAAAGAAACCAATTATAATCCAAATAGTCTATAAGGAAAGACTGCTAATAGACAAATATTATACATTTATATTGACCCACATTAATTCTCAACAACCTAAATTAAAGGAAGTGGGCAAGAAATGTCAAAATATTCATTTCAGTTAATATCTATGCCTATGCTCCCAACAATTTAATCTTTCCTATAGAAAGCAACTTTAATTCATAAAAAGAATACAAATATTTACCTCATCATCCTGTAGTTTGGCAAATGGTGAAATAGTTAAAGCAAATGGTATATGGCTGTTTTTGAGCATATCAGAAGTGCAGGGCACATTGTACATGGTGGAGCGTAGAAACCTTGGGTTACAGTTACCTGGAAACAGAAATGTACAAATATAAATTACCACATTTAATCATATTGTATAACTCATTATCTATAACAGTAGAACCAACCCTTTTTGGTATTCACCAAACAGTCAAATTCTACTTTTTTACTCATTGAGTTTCAAGTACCACAGATATGTAAATGTCATAGGGTTACATTCCAGCTTTTACTGGTTAAGGAAGACCCCTAAATGCCCTTCATTTGTTTTATAGGCACAGGTGAGACACATGTTCTTTGGAAGAACCATGGACTTTTCATAAGCCAGTTGGATTTATTCTTTGCATAAAAAATTCAAGAACAATAGAAAAATTCAAACTAACAATAGAATGTGATTCTATGTCAGCAATTACTATCAGGGACCATAAAAAAACTCTTGACAATAATAAAATCAAAGACGATTTTTCTTTGAAAATTGCACATATATCACAAATGAAACATAAATATGACTTCTTTCAGATACAGAAACGTATTTATGCAATCATGATAGTCATACCTCGGTTACAAGCCTGTCTCTGTTGATTATATTCAGAAAATAAGAAATATATTTAAGAAATAGGACTGAACATACCTTGATCTTGTGTTGTAAATTGTGTAGTAACTAATGGTGGAACACCACCTTTACTAGCTGTGTTAAACACTCCACTTCTATTTCTTTTATCATCTTCTATTACTTGAATCTGAAATTTTTAAGCATTAAATCTATGAAAACTTTCACCTGTAACCAAAATGTATATAATTCAAGGGAATCTTGTTTTATATTTCACATTAACTGTCTAGGAATACACTTTTTATTTTATAAAACATAACTTTCCTATTCTAGGAAATGTTCTAAAAAATTCTAGGAAACCCTCTTCTATGACTATGACCAGAATGTCTTCTTTCATATAGTAAAGTGGTGTTAACACAAATTATGAATTAAATCACAATTTTTTCCATAAAATATTTTCTTGCAATCAGAGCACAGATTGTCAATAACTTAGAAGTCATTAGCTGCAGTTTTGAAGATATCATTGAGTTAAACTAACAAGTGCATGGTGCATTTTCTACAAACAAATTATAAGAAACTTACAGGGCTTGGCATTTGGTCAGGATCCAGTTTCTTTTGAGGAGGTTGCTGCATTCCACCAGGTTGCATACCACCAGGTTGCATTCCACCAGGCGGCATACCTGGAGCTCCCGGTCGTAATGGTTGTGTTCCTGGGAACCCTTGATTAAACTGTGGCTGCGGGGCACCTCCAAACTGACCATGAGACATTTCCTGTGCCCCAGGGGCTTGATATCCGGGACCTACACCGGTCATTGGAGGGAACCCTGATGGTTGGTTGTAACCTTTAAATTGAAATAATTCATGTTACAACAGTTGAAAGCTTTCAAGTGAAATCTCCATCTTACATTACTTAAACTAACTTACTAACTGCTAATATTGAGTTTTATAAGCTATAGACTCCTATTGGTGTAAATCAATACTTATAATGTCATACTAGAAGAAAAATTTATTTGATGTCAAATAAATGTGCTTATCTTTATGAGGTATATTAAGTATATTTATATGTACCTGGACCAGGCATACTGATTGGTGGTCCTGGCTGAGTTTGCCCCATTGGAGATGGTCCACCAAAACCTTGTCCAAATGACCCTGGTGTACTGGATACTGGAGGCATGCCCATTGGTGGACGCTGCATACTACCACCTGGCGGTCCCATCCCTGGTCTAGGCTGACCCATACTAGTTTGAGGTGGTGGGAACCCTGATGGCTGCATTCCTTGAGGAGGTCCATACCCACTTGTTGCAGGCGTAGTGTAGCTGTCTGATGGCTGAGAAATGACATTTGAACCTCCCATACTATTTGGAGGTCCGCCTATATAACCTTGTGGTCCAGCCATACTGCTCGGGGGACCTCCCATATTACTTGTAGGCCCTCCCATACTACTTGGTGGACCTCGCATTCCACTTGGAGGTCCACCCATGCTGCTTGGAGGACCTCCCATCCCACCAGGAGGTCCTGCCATACTGCTTGGTGGACTTCCCATCCCACTAGGAGGTCCTGCCATACTACTTGGTGGACCTCCCATTCCACTTGCGGCTCCTGCCATACTGCTTGGTGGACCTCCCATTCCACTTGGAGGACCACCCATTCCACTTGGGGGTCCTGCCATGCTGCTTGAAGGACCTGGCATATAACTAGGTGTAGAACTTGCTGGTGGTCTTGCTCCCTATAAATACAAGCACAGCAGTTATGACAATGATATAAAATTAATAGGGATGGCAACGAATACCAAAATCAATACTCGAGTACTCGGTCATTTTTCCGATCGAGTACTCGGTTACTCGGATGATTGCCAGTGATCTTCAAAGATTATCACACAATATCAACACAATTAAAGGTCATTAAATATCATAAGAGGCTGGATGACATAAGCGACACAGTTGCGCGTGTCAAACTGTTGATGGCCTCGTTAAATTTATGATATAATTTTCGCACCTCTGCAAGGATGTTTTGATTGCATTTAATGGTTATTTATGAAGATACATGTACATCTCCGAATTTCTGAACTAATTGGATACACCAATCTTTCTAAATCGCAAAAAAATAGAAGATATATATTTTTCCGAGTAATCGAATATCAATTTTGTTAACCGATATTCTGACGTTCGATCGAGTACTCGGTTAACCGGTTACTCGATGCAATCCCTAAAAATTAAACATCAATGTTGACATATGTTTATGACTAAACTCAGACAAAAAGAATTGCCAAAGACATGTCTTTCTCTGACAGTAATAAACATATACTTTCCCAAAACAAATTTTAAGCATTTTTTTATGAAACTTTAATTTGTAAACTATCTTGTACAGGAATAGGCCCAACACAGAAACACTTTTGCATATTCAATTCTTTTTCTTTTTTCTTAACTTAAAGTGACATTATGCCCAACCAAGGGTATGAAGAGTGAACAAGTGAATGTCAAAATAAGTTTTCGTTTTGCAATAATTCCTTTAAATATAAAAATTTATTTCTCATTAACAATAAACAATGCATCGATTCAAACAATTTTTGTAAATATCCACTAGAATTTACCTGTAACATAAAAAGAGTGGGGCAGTCTTTTTATATTTTAAGCAGATTTAAATTTTGTCCTAACATTTTTCAGTATGAATTGTCAGTCAATCTTTTGAAATATATAGTCAGTGCAGCTTAACTTGACTATGAAAATATGAGCATAATGTCACTTTAAATACTTAATCTTCATTATGATTTGAAAAAGAAAATTACCATTTGTGGTTGACCTCTTGGTGGTTGCCCAGAAATACTGAGGTTACTCATTTGATTGTTCATCTGGAAAGTAAAATGCAACTTTGGTTACAGAATTGTGACAGAACTGCTCTACTCCACCTGTTTATACTTTACTTTAAAAAAATTACAGCATAAATCTATCATTCAGTTATGCAAAATTTACTCTTAGACTCGTACAACATGTTCAAAGTATTATTTTGTTATTCAACTTGTTTGTGTGAAGTTTCAGGCAAATATCTTTAGTGGTTGGTAAGAAAGGATGTTGTACAAAAAGTTGCATGTAAGACTTTAAGCACTGTATAACACCAACACATTGCACTGGTGAGAGGAATAGAGTTTTTCTTAAATGAAGGGTTAAAATTGGTTAATAAACACAAGTGGATCATGACAATAAAGCAGCTAAAATTGAATAAAAGGAAAGGAGCAATAAATTTACCTGATTTGGGGCTTGACCTGGGGACATTAAAGGGCCTGGGCCTCTCTGTCCACCCATCTGTCCTTGAGGCATAGGGCCAGGCCCTCTTGCTCCTCCCATTTGTCCAGGATGGGGTGGTCCCTGACCAGGTGCCATCTGAGGTCCAGGGCCTCTTGGCCCACCCATCTGTCCCGGTGGTGCTGCACCAGATGTAGGCATTGGCCCAGGCATACCTGGTCTAAAATGAGTAGAAAGAAAGATAATAAATGGTAGTAATATTGTGAAATATTCCAGTATAAATTTCTAAACCATACATTGTTCATTTAGTTGCTATTTTTTGCTTCTTTGAGTTATATCATACACAAAGGTATAAGATTGTGGACGAAAAAAACAATCTATTAATTTTGACTCTGTTAAATTGTTGGTGCAATAAATACATATGAACATATAGTAAGAAACTAAGGTCTGTAACTGTAATGCAGACAGTGTTTGGACCTGGACCATGAACTAAATACTTAGCAATCTTTTTAAGAACACCTTTTTGGCCTTATTTCAGACAGAACTATTATGCTCAAACATTCCCTACCTTTGAGCCCCATATGCCAAGTCACCTTGGGGGCCAGCATATCCTCCTGGTCCATTTTGTACAGGTTTTGATTGACCTCCATAATGGCCAGGCCCTGATAATATAAAAACAATTTTAGTATTATACGTGAGATTACAGTTCCTGTCAAATTCATACTTATAGCTAAAATTTCACTGCAATATTTTGCTTATTTGCTGTCTACAAAATAAACATTCTGAACTTGCTCAGCATTCGGACCAGTTATTTTCTAGACCTTGCTTGCCAAACACCAGATTTATTGCCTTCATTATTTAATCTAATTTTGATGCAAAGTAGGAAAATTAATAGGAGTGTTGTTTCATGCTCTTTTTCTGGCAGCCGCATACTTAAAACTGACATACATGTAGATCCTTCACTTGTAATAAAAGTCTTTACTACACAGTATTTTGAGGCATGTGTGTACCATTTATTTACAGTCACAACCAGAATTAATTACAATGTAATAAAAAAACTCACTATCTTCTATCATATAAGACAACAGATTTACTTGTCAGTGCAATCTGGAAAATACTGTATTAGTCATTTAGTGACCATTTATTGATAGTAACCTCAACTATTTACAGAACATAAGCTATATTCTTGAAAACATTCAATTTTCTTTTTAAGAGGATGCATGCTTATAATTTTTAGAAGCTATTGGATGAAAATATAAAACATATAGAGCTAAGTCATTTTGTAAGAGTACCTTGCATTGGCTGTCCATTATACATATTTGGACCAGATCCAGGTGGACCTGAAGATGGTGGACCATATCCAGTAGACACAGGTGCTGAATAACCACCTGGTGGCCCCTGGCCATACTGTCCCGGAAACTGGGGATTCATCACAATTGATCACGCTACAATTATAATAGTCAAAATATCAATCACAGCTTTTATGTTAAAAAGTTACATATACCAAGAATTAATGGTGATATTATAAATATAAAGCAATAAGATGGTGTGAATCATCATATTCATCTTGGTATAGAAATTTACTTATTTACATAAAATACAGTGGCATAGCTACTATTTGGCCATGTAGGCCCTGGCCTACAAGTTGGTCAAGAAATAGACATTTTCAAAAGTCCCAAAAATACATTAAAAACAGACGGATCTAGGTTGGTAGTGGGTTCAAGCTGTATGGTCGAATCAAGTGTGTTTATGTTTATGCCTGATTTACTGTCCTCAGTAAATTTTGCAGCTAGAACCTTATTCATAGTTTAAAATTATTGTTTTAATGATTTTCCTTCAAAATACTTCAGAATGTGCATTTTGCTCTATATAATCTGAACTTGTTTTCGGCTTCTGGAGGCTAAGCCCACACACCCCCTTTAATGGACCTACAAGCAGGGCTTCCACTAAGTTCCAAAATTTGGAAGTCAGACACTGCAAAATCTCTGATATTGGAAGTCACATTATATAGGTAAAGAAGGAAAAGTATTAGATTTTGGAAGTCACAAGCCAAAATCAGGGAGTAAATGACTCCCAAACTTCCATAAGTGGAAGCCCTGTACAAGTTGTAAAAAGCTGGCTATGCACTTAAAAGAAAAATCCTGTAGAAACAGGCTTGCCCCTGACAGGGGTTTGAACCTACACAACCAGTAACCCTTAAATTAATGGTTCGACAAGGGGAGCGGTGGCCTAGTGGTTAAGGTGTCTGCCTCTGAACCCAGAGATCTTGGGTTCGAGAACTCTGTATTTCCAATGTAACAGTTTGACAGCGAGTCTGTAAAGTCTCAGCCAAAACTTTTGTTCTGAATAACTTAGCATTACTGTCAGTTAAATATAGATAGTAAAGTATTATAGGTCTGTTAACATTTTCTAAATGACATTTTAACAAGAAATAAAATTCACTTTGAAGACTGGCATGTGGTCGAACATTCCATGTACGAAAATTACAACAAATATTCTTCTTTGACGAACGAGTTAAACATTTTACCTGTTGAAACGTTGTCACAATTCACAATATTAAACTAAAAATGCAGATACGATCCAAATTATTAGATAAATAGATAAACACAAACAAATGATGTTTTAACAAGTTGACAACAACCGGTCAAACCGGGTCTTCTTAAATTGCATTACTAAGGTTACACTATAAATGAAATTACCACACTGCTTCTTACCATTAAATACTGATTTCGTTGGAAATATCGGTCTTAAAATAATTGTGATATAAATGATAACAACACACAAACTTTGACACTTCACGATTACACGAACTAGATGCCACGTCCTGGTATTAAGCTTCCGCTAACGCATGCGCACATCATGCCACGTAAACATGAAGAGGGGCGGTAAAAAAGTTGCGCTCAAAACCTGGTACATGCCATAATTATTATTATCATATGGTAGCGATAAACGATTTATACAATAACTAAAAACAATTCTTGCGATTGTTTTTTTTCTTATTTTTTTTTGATGGCGATATATTTTACAGTATTGGGTAAACAAGATTTAGTTATTATTTGTATCAATCACGGATTTATATTACATATTATATTGTAATATAAATCCATGGTATCAATTCAATGATGTTCAAGTTAATATGAAAAAGGCAAAGCCTCAAAGCGAGCTCGATGTACTTTTTACGTGAAATAGTATGAAATAATCGCTCATTTTTATTTCAAATGCAGTGACAAATGCGCGTGACGTCACACGTACTGTGTTAAATATGGCTCCTCCCCTGTCGTGAAATGAATAACCAGTTTTGAAAACGTTGATCAAACTTTGTTTATTTTATTTCACTCTATATTTTTTCAAGCGAAATAAAGATTATTTAAAGTGAAATAAATGTAAAACTTAAAACGTTTGCGACATTAAAATAGCGTACTTGATTTGTTTGTTTTGCACGTGCTGTTTGGCGCTACATTGTGACGTCACGTAAACAATACTTTAAACGTCTGTACAGCGTTAACGACTGAATAAAAGATATTGGTGTTCGGATTCATTTTCTTAGTTAGACCATTTTCTTTCATTCTAGATAGTTTTCACAACAAAATTCGACAAAAAAATGTTTTTATTTATCAGATTTCAAACAAAATGGCGCCTTCGATTTTCATTTTATCATTCGATATTTTATACACAGCTTCCGTTATTCTGGTTCCCTGTCCAATTATGGTTCCCATAGACGTGCGCGGGTGACCAGTCTACACATCCGTTTTCAGTCAGAATTCCTCAGTTTTTATCGTTATCTTTAAATTCGAAAGGTTGCGATGTGTCCAATTCGGTCCTTTGGACGAAAGTTTTCAAAACCATCACTTAACAGGTACTCGCGTTACCGTAAAGCTCGCTTTGCGAGCAGGCCCTTCGGGCCAGGGGATGCAGTGTCGCATCAATCAATTATAGCGAGCTCGACGAGCTATTTGTTAAGCTGTTTACCTACGTTGTCATGTACATGTATTTATTGTGTATATCCTAACCGAAATATAGATTTTTCTATTTGCTAGCAAATTTTAACAGGTTGGATTGTGGTTTCAGTGTCTTTCAAACAGTTTATAAGCACAGGTAAACGTTGCGTGGCCATGACTTACACTAAACCCCCGTTCCCCCTCTACAACCCAAAACCCTAAAAAAAAAATTATGAAAAAAAAAAATTTTTATGACTTAAATATTATAAAGGTATTTTACTCTACTTTCATTTTGCATAGAAATATCACTAGCATCTCAATTATCAGCGCATATATTCATCAATTTTTCACCAATCTTAACAATCTTGGTATCAAATCTTAGATAAATAAATACTCTTTAAGAAAACAACAATGACACCTTCGCTGATTATACGTAGCAAGAAATATCCAAGCCCAAACTGTCAACAAATGAAACTCGGAAGAGATCTGATTGCACCGTTTCAGTAAAACTCTCACGAGTAAAACACACTAAATTCACCGTGAAAGAATATTTCTTTGTATTGCGTATTTAAATATGATAAAATTAAGTTATTATTTATAATAATTGTTCAATCAAAGCATCATATGAAACTATAACGCACCTTTTTTCCTATATGTCAAATTCTAATTCCAAAATGAAAGTAAATTGGCACAGCAGAGTTGTTTCCCTTTAAGTATTTTCATTGGTCCGAGGTTTTCCTGTGACCAATGAAAATACTCCATTTGAAAACAATCTGCAGGCCCATTTTACTTTCATTTTGGAATTAGAATTTGACATATAGGAAAAAAGGTGCGTTATAGTTTCATATGATGCTTTGATTGAACAATTATTATAAATAATAACTTAATTTTATCATATTTAAATACGCAATACAAAGAAATATTCTTTCACGGTGAATTTAGTGTGTTTTACTCGTGAGAGTTTTACTGAAACGGTGCAATCAGATCTCTTCCGAGTTTCATTTGTTGACAGTTTGGGCTTGGATATTTCTTGCTACGTATAATCAGCGAAGGTGTCATTGTTGTTTTCTTAAAGAGTATTTATTTATCTAAGATTTGAGACCAAGATTGTTAAGATTGGTGAAAAATTGATGAATATATGCGCTGATAATTGAGATGCTAGTGATATTTCTATGCAAAATGCAAGTAGAGTAAAATACCTTTATAATATTTAAGTCATAAAAATTTTTTTTTTTCATAATTTTTTTTTAGGGTTTTGGGTTGTAGAGGGGGAACGGGGGTTTAGTGTAAGTCATGGCCACGCAACGTTTACCTGTGTTTATAAGGACAACTTGTGGGACATCATCATTATACCATACGTAATTAAATCAAAATTTCACCAGGGTCTTTAAAATAGAATCAATTTTATTTGAAAGACCCTGATTTCATATTTGGATATTGACCACCGCGTATATCCAGTAACGCCGGAATGTGAAAATAACGCACGATTCGTGCAATAAGTAACACAGAATTGTGCAATAAAATGCGGATAACTGACAGGATTTCCAACGCGGTAAGTAAACTGGCCAATATATTTTTTATTTAACCGAACTGAAAAAAATGAATAGCTGCATACGGCTGCAAAGACATTACTCTTTATCCCTCATCAAGATTATTTCCACGAAATTGTTTACTTTTCAAGATCATTCGTGAAAATGATGACTTGACTATCGTTTTGAGCGAGATTTTGGCTTTTTGTCGACTCTTATAAGTACAACAATGCATATTATACGGTATAATTTCGATTTTAGGTAGGCAAGTGACATTTACTAAAATTCTGGTGATATAGAAAATTGAAGTAAGCTGATGAAATGGGATTTAAGTCGTTTTTATGAGGTAACGCCGATGTACGTGAATAGTGCTTCGCGGTAACGCCAGAAAATGTGATTTTTTTTCCATATATGGTACTGAACTGTTATACATGTTTAACGCCATTAATCGGCGAGTATCAGCACTTTTCAAATATATTTTTGTGGGGAAACTTTAATTTATTTTGTACAGAATTTATTTTAGTTTAATTGCGTAGAACAAAGACACAGTCTCGAATTCGTCTCTGAAACCACAGAGCTATAAGGTTCCTAATATAAGTCTTTGTTGAAGTGAGTACGAAGATTGAGAACGTAGTTATGAAAATGGGCTTTGTTAAATTATAGAAGTTTTCATGTTCTCACTCTTAATTAATTATTAACATGAAGAAGTCCACTTTTAGACCTTCATGGCATGGATAGATGTAATCTTCCACAAACACATCTCTAGTAGCTCTCCATATACTAGTACATGTACATTGAGTAAGTAACCGAAATATATTCAACCTATCTTTAGCCTATATCACCCTTTACCTGGTAAATTTATGAAATGGTTTTACACAGCTGTGAATTTGGAACAGTTCATTGAAAGTCTGAGAGATTGCTATTAGAAATTTAATGTTTTTGGACAAATGAGATACATGAGTGAGCAAATGGTCACTAGTATGGATGTGACCTGGCTCTGTACTGGTGGCCTCTTTTAGGGTCATTAGTCCTGTTAGTTTTGTAAACGTCTAGAGTAATACCTAGCATAAACTCCTACGGTAGATCCCATACAAGTTAACATATAATAAGAAACCCTAAGAGTAGCCCAAAGGTTATAATTTATCTAACTTTAGCAAAGGACAATATGGTTATGCTTTCACAAGTTTTAGGCATTATAGTTTCTAAGTAAAATATCTTTTTGAATACAAGTTACTTCCTTATATTAGAGAAAAAAAAAAATAAATGCACAGAAGTTCACCAGGCAAATTGCTACAGCCAAATATTTGTTTTGGTTGGGTTTCACATCACGCCAACACAATAAAGGACATATGGAGACTTTCAAGCTTTACTGGTGCATTATTTCAGGCATAAAATATACAGACACTTCTTCTCTTGATTGTTTTCTATTATTTTTATATTCAATTTATTTGCAAACTAAGTTTATTGTTCTTATTTTCTAACAAGATCAGACGTGGGCAGCATGTTCACAAATAATAATTTTATTTCAGGAAACAATTGTCAAATTGTACTAAGTTACAATATGCAATCAAAATGTTGAAAGTTTGTCAAGATCTAATTATCATATATTTCTTAATAAGTTACGAAGAAAATACATTGACTATAGGTCGCAAATAACTTGATAATATTCGCCGATAAAAGGCGTTAAACCTGTGTAATAATTCGGTTTATCACACACCCGTGCCGATTTTACGACTCCGTAAATATGGTATTGCACGGCCGTGCATATATTTTGACGTGACGTCATTAGCGTTATACTATATGAATCTTACACCAGCTGCCGGTACAGAACGGAATATCTAGCTCGAGGGTGAATGTTTACGGCGGTAACGAGGCTCTGCCGAGTTTCCGCTAAACAGTTACCCGAGAGCTAGATATTCCCGTCTGTACCGACAGCCGGTGTTTGATTCTTTTTCTTGCATATTACATATCAATTATTTTCAGAACAGAAATTACGAAAACTGATATTCTAATTACGCACTTTTTTCTTATAGTAGCGTATGAACATACAACTTCATTCATAAGGAAAAATGACGTCATCCTAAGAACGCGATTCATTCATAAAAGGCGCGCGTCAATGACGTCATTTAACGCACGCGACTTGTCTTACATGGGGGCAAACTCCTCACAGTGATTACCTCCCTTGGCAGAATTGTAATCGGATTTAGCTCAATACAGAATTGGAGCAGTACCTCCAGACGCTTGCAGAAATCATGATCACAAAATAGACAAATATCGTTTTTTTCGCCGAATTTTACATTTTTCCTTGATTATCGTACTTGATTCGGTGTGAAAAGATGAATTAGACCTGTTAAAGTTCATTCCGTTGGGTAAAAAGACAAGATTTTAGC